TCAAGACAAAGGACGACGGGTGTGACCATGTTCAGTTTCAGATCATAGAAAAGGCAAAACAGGGACAAAAAGTCGGTGCCGTACAGGAGATCGAGTGCCAAAAGGCTGTGGACTCGATGCTGTCCATTGAGAACAAAATAAGTCCATTGACTTTCTGTAAGGCATTCCCGTTTCACTTGGTTTTCGATAAGAAATTGGTTGTCCGACAGGTATTACCCCTCAGAATACTATTTTAATAAAGAAAATTGATTTTGTTTGTTATGTTTATCATTAATTTTGTCGCATATATAGTGTTTGTGTTATGTTATGTGCACTCAATTCTAGTTAATATTTAATCAAATAAAACATTATTTTTTTGTAAATGAAAACTAAAACTAAAAATACATACAAATATTATTATAGTGAATACACGTAAAGAAAAAGTGATTGAAATAGTATTTACTGACACATAAGACATACACATTGAAAATCTTATAATATATTTCTACTTATAGTGAACTAGATTTTTGCGAGCAAAATCTTTTTTCATAAAAACTTAGCCCACATTTTTTGCCACTAAATTATCTCATTATTTGCACGACATGTCAAATATAAGCTTTCAATGCATAAAAACAAACTTTTAAAAACTTTTGTTGTTGTTGTTGATTATTTGTACAATATTTTTGCTGTCATTTTATTTGTTTTGCATACAATTCCCGCACTTAAGGCAACAGATATTTATTTGTATATTCATTAAAAAAAACTTTTTGCCGTTTTATATTCAATTAACTTTTTAAGATCAAGTTTAGTCCCAAAATAAATCTCCCGTTTGTTAAGTGGTCACAGAGACAGACACATCTAAATTAAGACTGCAATATCCGGTGAATAATAATAGTATTGCCTGGATACTTAAAAATCAATTTAAAATTTTAATTCACTTATTATTCCCGGAGTCTTTCACATTCATATGGGATATTCATATGATAGGAATTTTTCTCATAGAATGTATTAGTTTACTAATAAAAATAAATTTATGGTAAAAACTTATGTGCCATTAATAAAGATTATTAGTTTGTGTTTGAATTGAAATACTATTTTACACATATTTTTATAACTCGTTTTTTGATTATTTAGAAAAATGCCATAATATTCTTGACCACAAATTTTATATTGACTTATATTTGCCTTAAATTTAATGGTATTTTTGCATTGTATTGAAATTATTTTATTTTTATTTTCGATCATTTTTCCCTTAAAATACATGCATTTTATTCATTCATTCATTCAAACTATGATTTATTTTTACTTAATTTAGGGCTTAGTTTTCGGTTCAGATTTATATCTGTGTTGTGTATAGTATTTTGCGAAATAATCTTTTATTTTCGAGTAAAAAATATATTTTTCTTTTTACACATAAAATATAATACAAATCACGAAATATTTGCTTTGAAAATATATTTATATATTTACATTCCGTTAACTGTTTATAAACACAAAACCGTTTAGTTGTGTATTATATTATATTTTTGAGATAAAAGGATTAGTAATGAAACAAAAACTTGTATTATATTTGACTTTTGTATTAATGATAAACAAATGCAAATGCAGTCTTTGATTAAAACTGTACACTCTATACGTAAAACAAATACAAAACAACATTAATTATTTTAATTGAAGGTATCGTTAAAAATCTTGAGTTTAAATTTGCATTTTTTCTCTCAATCCATGTATACCTCATATAATATAATCTCGACGCTAATGATCACCAAAATATTGTGTTCAAAATATTTACCATTTTTATGAATAGATTTCAGTAATTATTGTATTTTGATATCAAAAATATAATTAATAGGTTTATTTAATTAGACGATCAAGAATAGAGATCACAAAAATATATTTTTGTAATACTTTTCAAAAATTTAAATACAAATATAATAAATACATATAATTATTGAGAAAATAATTATAATTCTCGTAAAATATAAATAAATATTTTGATTTTAAAACGGCTGCAAATTTCTATGTGAAGGTTAGGTTAAAGCTTTTAATTTCATTTTACAAGTGATTATAAAAAAATTAAATTTCATGATTAATTGACTTTATTATATGACACGAACTTAGCATTATTTTCTAATTATTTTATTATTTTTAATGTAACATGCATTTTTTCGCGAAAAAATTCACAAGCAATTAGTCATAAACTAAATACAAAAAATATGATTTCCATTAATCTGGCAATGCTTATGCTCGTTAAACAGGCCGGCATATCGGTAGCCCGTGTACTGCCGGCGCTGACACAAGCCAACTGTCTGGTGACGGACGTACTCGACATGATTAGGCCGCACATGGAGTTCACATTCAATAATATTCTGTCGCATATAAACACTGTATTCGTGTTGAGAACCAAAGCCAGTAATTCCAGTATTGATGCCAACACTGAGTTGGCTAAAGAGCACACCAGGTATGGCACCGGACGGTCAGACACATACCTGTCCACATAACCCCATGAATCCTAATCACATGAAAACTAATTAATAAAAAAATTAAAAATTCTTATAATTAATTATACTTATGAGGAAAATATATGATATGAATAATTGACATTTCTAACCAAAATTCAGTTTATATCGTAATTATTTCCATTAAATAATCCATTAATTAATAGAAAAATATTTAAATGGTTAGTTTAGGGGAAAACCTATTTTGCATTAACACTAAATCTCGTAATTATTAATTAATATTTTACAAAAAAATAATTTAATTACAAAATTTTATAATGTATTAAGGATGCGATTAAAGGGTCAGATGTTATATGTGGCCGAAACCGATTTGGTACTATTCCTGTGCTCTCCCAGTGTCCTAAATCTGGATGACCTCAACCGACGGGGACTGTATCTGTCGGACATACCCCTACACGACGCCACCCGAGACTTAGTCCTACTGTCCGAGCAGTTTGAAGCCGAGTATAAACTGACCAAAAATCTTGAGATACTGACCGACAAACTACAGCACACTTATAGGGAACTGGAGGACGAGAAAAAGAAAACCGATCGGTATATACATATTGAGCAAAATATTCATCTAATCGTATGTTTACTTAAAAAACACACAAATTCAGAGACCTATTGTTATTTGAAAACACAAATAATTTGTAGGTATTTATTGTGTATGTAATCTCTATTGAGGCTATGATTTGCACGAAACCTATCAGTCATTGGCAGGCATTATGTCTTATGTAATGTATTGTGTATTACTTATGATTAAACCGATGGTATCATTGAGTTATATAACAGATGGAGAACTAGTTTATTAGTACATCCAAACATCTCGTGGGGCCAGTCATACAGTTAGAGCCAAAATCGCATAAAAGGGTGTAGTTTTTGCTCCGTATTTTAAAAATCAGTCTTTGATTTGTGTTTTTTATAACTTTTAAAATTACAAACTTAAATAAATAACAATAATAATCGCAGACAAAATTTGAACTTTTCATATACAGTATACAACTTGATTGAAATAATCATTTCATTTGCCTTAACCCATAGCCTATTGTACTCAGTATTGCCACCATCTGTTGCTAATGAACTCCGGCACCAGAGACCGGTTCCGGCAAAGAAGTACGAATGCGTTACCCTTTTGTTCAGTGGTATCGTCGGCTTCAGCCAGTATTGCGCCAAGAATTCAGACTCTATGGGAGCCATGAAAATAGTGCACCTTTTGAACAGCATTTACACCACTTTTGACGTATTGACGGATCCCAAGAAGAATCCCAACGTTTATAAAGTAAATGACAATTGAATTGCATTTATCGCACAAACATGTTATGCAACATAATATATGCGGTATTTAATCGCAACACAAATTATATGCTAGTTTATATTTTAGCATGTTTTTTACGCTGAGTTTCTATATTTATATGTTATTTGTTTAACACAATTATGATGAGTGAGTGACGGATTGATGTGCTTTAAGGTGGAAACAATTGGTGATAAATATATGGCAGTGTCGGGGCTACCGGAGCCGTGCGAAAGTCACGCCCGATGTATAGCGCGACTGGCGTTGGATATAATGGATTTGTCGAAGAAAGTGAAAACCGAAGAAATGAACGGAATTGTAGTGAACATTCATTATCATTATGTCTCTCATCGCTTAATACTAATACTAGTATTTGTCTCATATTTGCTAATAATAGGAAATAACAATAGGTATCCATTCGGGGGAAGTGGTGACCGGGGTTATCGGCAAACGGATGCCCAGATATTGTCTGTTTGGCAATACAGTGAACCTGACGTCCCGGACGGAGACCACGGGAGAAAAGGGCAGAATTAATGTCTCGGAGGAGGCCTACGGTTGTCTAATGGAGAAGCAAAACTCTGATCCCGAGTTTCACTTTGAATACAGAGGACCCGTTCAGATGAAGGGTAGACGCGATCCCATGAAAGTGTATTTCTTGTCCAGAATTCCCATCGAGAGTCGGGTCTAACCATGTTTTCAAAGATATAATCATTATAATGTCAACAATAATTACACTGATCCTTTTCGCACAACTCACTTGTTTCCACTTAATTGTGAAAATATGTTAAACAGTATTACATTTGGTGTCTCTCTATAACAATAAATTATAATTAAGTTTTCAACGCAAGTGTTAAGAAATATGTAATTTCCTGTAACTTTGAAATATTCATAAAACTTTAATTGATGTACAGATAGATAGCGAAACAAACAAGAAAATTATAAATTCAAACATCATTTGCAAATCAATCATTAAAAATGCATTTTTAAAAGTAAATAAAATTTTCAAAAATAAAATAAAACCAATTTGAATATACAATTAATAAATAATGATCGGTAGACTTAGGTGTCTGGTATAATAGCTTTCAAATTGACAGCAAAAAAGCACAAAAGAGTTATTGTTTTAAAATTCAATTGTGAATTGCATTTGTGATGTCAGTAATCATTACTTCCTTTTGGCTTTAATTTGTTTATTATCTCTAAAAACTTCAAAAAACTTAAAGTGAAGACAATTTTGCAACAAAAAACTCTTTTCTTTAATGAGCTATTTGTGAGACTCAACTGAAAATAATATGTAAGAAATGAGTTTGAAATGCAAAACAGCATTCAGTTCCCACCGATATATTACGAAAACGGATAAAAACTAATAATAAGCCTTTCGATAAATATATTGCCTTTTATTTTGTGTACAAAACACTCGTTAATTGATTCAAATGGTTATTATTTATCAAATACGAGAACATATTATTCATTCTATTCATGACTGAATACCTGATTATTAAAACCAATTAAATCTACTTTTTACTACAATATCAAAGGTATTTAAAATAAGGTTTTCTCAAACTGTCTATGAGTTCACTATAAGTAAGAAATTGTGTCTTATATTGGCCTTCAAAACAAAATTCACGGCAAAGGAAAATATTTTCCAATAAATTAAAGTTTTTTAAACCTTTCAAACGTACAAAATATACTGTAAACCGATTAATAGGTTTATTATGTAATAATAATAATGGTCTGGAATTTTGATTATTTTATCCCTCGTTTACCTAAGATTTCAAACATTGATTTATAAATGTTTTAATAACGAGGGGACTAATGACTGAGAAATAGTTATCTATTTTGCATATAATATCTAAATCAATGTTTATTTTGTTTAATTGTAGAAACAAATAGAAAGAGAAAAAGATTATATCTCTCCATAAGTATTATATGATATGGTATTGCTTTTGTATAAATCGGGTACTTTTGTTGTGTTATCTTGATATATGTCTAAATAATTTTTGCATAAATTATTTATGGTTTCAGTGTTATTACACAAATACTACTATAAAAGTTTTTGATATGATTTATTAATGAGTTAGATTTAAATTTTCCAATTTATGTAATTTCAAGTCTCTCTCTCTCTCTCTCTCTCTCCCTCACACACACACACACACACACACTCACTCACTTACTCACGTTTATTTCATATAATAAATTTGAATAAAAAAACTAAATCTGCATTTGTATGGCCGGTATTACAATTTAGTGTATTGTATAACCCGTGCACTTATTCCTATTGCCATTTATATGATAGACAGGTATTTAAAAGTTTGAGAACTTTATTGTTTATTATACTTGAAATGCATTTTTGTATTACTATTTGTTTTGTTGTATTCCTTCTAATTTAAAATGTGTTTCATTTGTGATGAAACAAAAAGATAACTGTTTTTTGCAGTTAGTATTGATGCGAATATTCAAATGAAGGCCAAGACTTAATCATTTTATTGGATATAAAAAAGAGTTGTGTTTTTATCGCAGTTTTATACATTTGCAGCTCATCTCAGGTATTAAATTTTACGATTTGTTTCACTGGTGTAGATAACTGTGTCTTTCACGAGAGAGAGAGAGAGAGAGAGAGAGAGAGAGATTACGAAAAAATGTCTGATTTCCAAACTAAATGACTTTTTGATTTCCTTAAACACAAATATTAAATTGAAATTTGAATATAAAAAGAAAAAGTTTTGTTATTTATTTATCCCGTTTTTGTCGGTGAGAAAAATCTGCTTCCAATCTATTTATATGTTATTAAATAAGGATTTAAATACAAAATACGAGAATTAATTTCTTGACGAAACAAAATAATTTGTTCACTAAATCGGGTTAAACACGGC